CAGCCGGTAGTGTTGCCAGACAGAGATTGTTCCGCCAGTGCAATGTAGAACGTTCGAACATGTTCCGAGCATGTGCTGAAAACCGGGACAGCAAAAGCAAACGGGGCCGGGGCCACCAAGCCTCAGGGCAGAAGAAGGTCATGAAGTTGTGCAAGACTAAGACGTGGCGTTCTGTTACCTGCTTTGGCAAGCCCTTCCGACGGTCTGGAGACACTTTCAGCTCAATAAATCGGATGACTCGCGTCTTGAACAGCACCTTCGCACGGGACACTGCGGCGACGGTTTTGAGGTCTCGCCTTGCAAATGTTGTGGTGACAACATCCTTTTCTGGCATTGGCCTTGCTGAAATCGGGGTGGCTGCTTTAGCCGCTAGTGTCGGTGCGGAAGTCCGCTTCGCGAGAGCTGTGGAGTGGGATGAGCACTGCCGACAGGTACTTATGGCCAGGAGTTCCTGCTGTGTTCATGGGGACGTTGAAGACATGCTGACGTCCGGTGGGCAACTTCGCAGAAAAGTCTGGTGTTACAAACATCAGCAGCGCTGCTCCGCGACTTTGACCCTGGATTCCTCTGCCTGGCACGTGGAGCTGGCGGGCCCCCCATGTCCGCCCTGGTCCAGCTTCGGTTCCAGACTGGGGACTGCCGATCCCAGATACAAGTACCATGAAGCAGCTTGTCTGCTGAAGTCTGGGTTTTCACAGGGCTCTAGTGTAAAGGGTTTGTCTGAGCCGGCTACGTGTGCTATTGGATGGGTTCGTCCTGGGTTAGCCTGGACAGAGCATTCATAGTCGGTGGTCTCGTTGTTCTTGTGCAGGCATGGGTCACTCGCATGCTCAAGGAGCAGCCGGACATCATCCTGTTCGAGAATGTGGTGGGCTACCCAATACATCTCCTACAAGAATCCTTCCGTCGCACCTACACTGTCCTTCCAGGCTATGTCGACCCTCGAATGTTCGGGGTCCCGATGGCTCGCACCCGATTGTATTGCCTCCTGATCCACAAGCGTCGGCAGTGGCATGGCAAAGCGTGCGAGGATTGGGTCGCAGAGTTCGCCGGCAGCGAGACGGAAACCGCGACTGGGACTTACAATGCACTGACTTATGCCGACACGAAGGACTCCGAGGGCACGCGTGCACTCACCCCGTTGGAGGAGAAGCATTTGAAGCAGTACATGGAAAATCCGAGGTCAGACGTAAGCATCCTGGACTTGCGGCAGAGTCTGAACATCAGGGTCATGGGCAATCTCGTGGACGGCGCGTTGCCGACACTCCGCACCACGTGCGGCTCTCTGTACATGCTGGGCGAAAAGCGTTTTCTTAGCAGCTTCCAGCTCTTGAGAGCCATGGGCTGGCCCGTGCTGCAATCGGACTCGAATGCATTAGAGCTGCAGCACCATCCTTTTCCGCTTGATGTGCCTGTACCGAAAAGGTTTGTCATGGCAGGGAATGGCATGTTTGCCCCTTGTGTGGCGCTTGCTCTCGCGACAGCGGTGCTTCACAGCAGCTGAGTTGCTTTAATTTGCTGTTCCGAAGTGACTATGTTGCGTGGATGCCCGCAGAAAATGTGACTGGAAGGTCTGCTGCGCTGTTTTGTCGGCAACGGAGTAGCTTTAGGACTTTGCTGTCACTGAGAGAGTGGCCTCACTTCTTTGCAGGATGCAGTCCATTAGATGACCTCAGCATGCAGAGTCTGTTCTTCGTACCCAGCACTTTGTGGCCAGGCC